CAAAATCCCATGGAGCGGCCATGGGATCTATATGCAATGCCAAAATCGCATGGAGTGGCCATGGGATCTAAATGCAATGCCAAAATCCCATGGAGTGTTTCTTTGCAACTCAGGGGGTTTTGATTCTGTTCACGAAAGGTAGCCCTTTAGGGGATACCTTGAGTTTGTCTTGCGAAGCAAGTGTTGGCGCGTCCGGGTCTAATAATTGATCATTCAATTCAACCCCCCCCCTCGAATTGATTTTTCAATACAGACCCCCCGCCCCCTTGAAATTGATTTTTCAATACAGACCCCCCCTCTAAAGTCAATTCTCTCCTGGGGAACGTCTTCGTGAGCCTCTCATGATTTCAGGATAGTTGAAACCCTCTTGAACATTCAGAAAGAGTGCATATGAAATTCTAATCACGAAAGGTGTTCCCCGAGGGGATACATACCTAGAGTTTGTTTTGTGAAGCACGTCAATTCTCTCCTGGGGAGCGTCTTCGTGAGCCTCTTATGGTTTCAGGATAGTTCAAATCCTATGACGCTCCGATTCAATGCTCACCGATGATTTGAGCCATGGGGCAAGTTTGTTTTCCTAAGAATCTTCTTGAACATTTCGAGAGCATATGTTTGAACATTTAGAGTGCATATTATTTACGAAAGGTCGCCTCCGAGGGGATAAATCACCACGTCGAACATGGCATTTTTGTTCCTGCCTCTCTTCTGTCTCTTCTCTTCCCGCTGTCCTACCTTTCGTGTCTCCCTCCTCTCCAGTTGTATCAACCGTCTAACATGGCCGAGTCTCTTCCCTTCGGCACTGAAAACAACACAGCATCGCTCCGCTAAACTCAGGCGACGGGTGCACCGACAAGCCAGCGAAGGCAGGTGGAACCGCCGGTGAGACGGGTGGGTGGGATTTGGAAGAGGTTTGTATGTTTCCGAAAGGTCGTGGTGGAAAGCGGCCAGACATGGAAGTTGAACATGATAACAGGACTGCAATGGACTGCATATTATAAAGAGTGACTTTTGGTGACTATAGTGATGACTCGTGGCTGCAGACTGATGTGTAACAGAAGTTCTGCTCAATGCGTGGTGCTCGAAGCTGCGGGAATCCCCATCAGCTATGGCAATGGATGTTTTTATGGGGCATGAGAGGTTCAGAGACTGATTTGGCAGGATGTGCAGCTTGGAGCACTGGCAGAAATTGACCCCCCAAACAAGCAAAGTACTACCTGTATGACCTTATCGTATTTGTCCTTGATCGATTATATTGTCATATATTCAAATACGTTTACATTGGGAAATGCAAGGGAAAAGGCTGGGTGCTGCACAAATCCTTATAACGTCGCCTTAGCACAGCGTGCACTTGTACGATTATATACTACTGGTAGGACCTTCCAACATGTTTTTTTCACCCCTTAACCTGCAAGAGGTTATTTACAAACACCTCGGACTGGAAGGTCCTGGTAAATGATCATATCTTCCATACATGGAGTTCCTCGGCGTATGGCAGAACCAGTGACGTATCCTCGGCGAGGATCTCTGCCCGACATCGCGGCAAAACTCCACGGCGCGAACAGGAAAGTTCTATCAACTCGAGGGTGATGCCTCCAGTGAGCTTGCCTCTCGTCAGTTCCGAACGTGACATTCGGCTGTCCAACATGTGCGACAAGAGCCAACCAAACCGTCACTTTCTCTACAAATTTATAAGGACTCCCAACTGTCTCACTAAAGCAGCCATGTTGGTGTGGGGTAGGAATGGGGTTCAAAGTGGGTCTGTCTCAAAATGGCGAGAACCCTAGCTGTTCAACTCCATTTGCTGAGACAGAGCCATGCGTTGTCCCTGCAACCGTTCCGTGCCACAAGGATATGATTGTTTTTACAGTATTTAGACCCGTTGGTGTTGCAATTAGACCAGTGAGATTGTATGGGTTTTCCTGTTTATCCTTTTTGAGACTATAGCGACCCTTGTTACTTAGTAGCTTCTTGTTCCCTGTCCCAGACTCCCAGTGTCAATGACCGACGTCGGAAAAAGGACGGACTCTCGACGTTTGGACTCTCGACGATGTACGGGGTGACTGGGTGAGGTGGAAAGAAGTTTGAGCTGTTGATAGGTGCTGGGAGGTCTGATTGAGTGATCCGAATCAGTTTCTTGTGACGTTCGTAGCGATGCCCTTCCTCCTAGTAGTAATGCAAGGAGCTACTAGTAGCGTCCTTGCGCCTAGTAGCGATGCCCTTTGTTCCTGGTCCTAGTAGCTATTTGCTCCTAGTAGCATATTCCATGCGTCACCCGCAGGTGAAAATGATGACCATTATTGAGGTAGATTTGAGATGGTGTTGTCCCCAAATGAAGAGACCCTATCATCCCATCATCCACATTGTTCTTTGTGTTGAGATCCTATGGGTTTGTCTCCAGTCATGGTTCCTTAGATAATATCCAAGATAGGAAATCCAGATAAGGCTCGTTCTTGTTGGGAGTCCCAAGATCGATCAAGAATCATTCATATTTAGATTAAAGATCCGGAAGCAGCGCTTGGAGCGGGTTTCCCAGCTGAGGTCCCTGCTGGCTTTGGGCCTCTAGGCTGGTTTCATCGGTTTTTCTCGCCCTGCCGGTGACCCTTTCGTGGAAATCCATTCGGAGAAACATGTTGTTTTCACAAAACGTTGGCGATGAGTTGGAAGGAAGTGAGACGAAGTGAGATGGACTGGTCGAGGGACTGGTCAACTCTTTCAATCCCTTGAGCCAGGATTGATAGAAGTCCAACCTCCTGAAGTTTCAACCTTACTCCAAAGAACTCCAAAGCTTCTTCTTGACGGGTGACGAAGGGGTTCACGAAATCCTTATGCTCAAAGTATATATCATTGCATATTTGGAGCGGCATCCAGTTGGTTGCTTGGCATAGGAGCAAGGACGAAACGAACGGGGCTCCCGGCCTTACTACTAGGAACAAGAAGCTACTAGGAACAAGGGCATTGCCACTAGGAGCAAAAACGGACCTTTCATCGGCTCATCGGGTGGTTTTGGCCGAAGATCACATCAGCGCTGGCGAGCGCTAGCGAAGACAGTTCGTGGATCAATTCCGTCCCTGTCCTGGCTTTGCTTACGGGTGAACTTTCTTCTCTTCCTGTCCTGGTTGAATCCCCAGAATGGGGACTCCGTATCTGTCCAGGTTCCTGGAGCAAATCCAAGCAGTTTTTGGGCCCATGGAAAACGAATGAAAACGACCCGCTTAAAACAGCCGGGAAAGCAGCTCGGTGGCTGGGGGGCGACGCAAAAACCGAAGGCTGCGGAGATCGCCTCTACAAAGACATATTCATTGTGGGCGAGTTGTGCAATGTTACATATATATACATAGTTATATAATATATATATATATATTATGTAATATATTTATATGTCCATGTATATATATATATATGGTACTGGTACCCCCCCAAGATCAGTGGTTGCTTATGGTTACATGCATGTAGTAATGCACATCGCATCATGTGCACATGTTTTGTGCATATGTATGTGTGTGTGTGCAGCATCACATGATATGTGCATGATTGCATCCACAGGATCTAAGATCATCATGAATGAAGTTGATAAACTAAATGATTAAGGGTTAAGTTTATAAACTATGTGGGAGGAGAGGGTACCAAGAAGTCTTCCTCAAGAAGAGTGGAGAGGGGGGGGTACTAAGAAGTATTCTTCTTGAAGAAGAGTGGAGGGGGGGTACGAAAAACCTAAAACACAAAAACAAACACAATGATTGGGCAACTAGTCCAGAGATCACACTAGCTGTGAAAACATTATTGGGGGGGTATGTGTGTTCTTTTGTAGTATTTATGTTATTGCTTTTTGTTTGTTGGTTTGTTATTTTTGCTTTTCGAGCAAGTATAGTTTGTAAACTCCATGGTGAAGTGTATAAACTTGTTGCGCTACTTTGCTGTAGCTGTGTCTGTATATGTTGTTGATGGGTTTGCTTTCAATGCTGAAAATTCATCAGTTTGGGTATTTGTGTAAGTTCCACCACCTCGACCACCTCCACCTGTTGCTACTTGACTTTGAACATAGGCCTTTGTTGTTAAATTGGATGATCCTGTGATCTCTAGGTTTGTAATTTCAGTTCCTCTGAAAACTGTTCCTCAGTCTAATGACACAGTGTTCAATATTTTAGACAAACATAACTACTATTTGTTCTTAGGTTTGCTATTGAACATTCCTTCGCAGAAACTGTTGCCTTTGTCTTATATGTTCATTTTGAATTTGATACTGATAGTGATGTGCTAGACTCTTCAATAGATTTACTGGTGCCATAGGTCTAGTTGAATCTTTTTAGCGCCTGATTCATTGTTGGTTTTTGCTTCCATGGAGGTAATTCTCTTGGTACGGTTTCTTCTTGTTTAATAGGTTGAACTATTGCTTTTGGTGTAGTCCTTGCTTTTAGTTTTACTGGTGTGTTTTCGATTGCTCCAATGCAAGTCTTTTTGTGTTTAGGATGTTCCTTACCTGCTCGGATGGGCCATACTTTGGACAGGTAACCATGTTGTTCTTTTAAAGTGCTTCTTGTTTAGGTTCTTCTGGTTTCACTGCTTCTTCCAATTCGTCTGGTGGTTGTTCCACCTCTTCTGTTGTTTCCCCACCTGCCAGGTGAGGGTTGTTAGATTTTATCAGAGCTCTCCTCCTCTTCCTCTTCCTCTTCTCCTCCTCCTCCTCGTTTTCTTGACTCGCACCTCAACTGCACGTGCATGATCGCAGTGGGCACTATCGGACCTCAACAGCAAGCGCCAGATCGCAGTGGGCACCGCCGGACCTCGCCAGATAGAATGTCAGAATATATGCCAGATGGAAGGAAACAATATATGCCAGATAGAATGTCCTAATGTACGCCAGATAGAATGCCAGCAATGATGCCAGATAAAGCGCCAGCAGTTATGGTAGATAGAATGCCAGCAATTTTGCCAGATAGAACTCAGAATTTACTGTATTTTGATGGCAGAACACATGTCACCCGGTGCTGCTGCTGCCGTTTCACGATTTTGGAGCGCTCCTGTCCGACGCCAGTAAAGGGCAAGGTACGCCTTTACTCAAGGAACTGGAAGCGGTGTACCTCCAGCATTCGGGCAACCCGTGATGAGAAAAATTGTGGCAAGCTGTGGTCATTTTTTGAGCGTGTCCTACAGGCCCTCGGTGATATTTCCCAATTTTTTGTGTAGTTTTCTTAAAGTTTTAAAGGTGATAGAGAGGGTGAACGTTGACAGGAAGGATACCGGACCGGAGTAGAAAAATTTATATGCAAAGTTCAGACTTTCCGAATGTTCATGGCCAAGAGGAGTTTCACAAAAACCATGTATTTGATTTTTTGTATCTTGCCTAATGAAAATATGTGTAACATAGTTGTTGTATAACATGTTTTTCTGATAAGCACTCATGATCTAACAAGTAGATCCATCTTATTGGTTTTCATGATTTTTATTGGATCGTGTGTTCCTTTCCTAATTGTTTTCTATATTTTTCTATTAGATATGTTATGATATTTCAAAAGACACATGATTACTATAATTGAATGTCTACACCATACAATTCTGTAAGAACAAGGGCAGCAAAAAGTGTAAGGAAAATACATGGAAAACATAATAACAACAAAGATGGAATGGAATAAACGGAGTTTATTGTATTCTGCGTAATTCTGCTGTCTCTGTTTTCCCTTCAATGTATTTCCTTGATGTGTGGTTCCAAAGTCTCTGGTTTTTTCTCCTATAGGAATAACAAATATATTCCTTTCTGTTATTTTCATAATTCGTATTTACTTGTCATTTATATATGGACCTTCCCTGGTTTTTCAACACTTGTACATGTCCTGCTTGAAACACTTCTGCATACCGATCTTTGGGGGCTAGCACATAGATAGATAGATAGATTTATACTATTATATATGTGTTTTTGTGATTCCGCTTGGAATCACAAAGGTAGCTCTACCTAACCTGAGTCCATCCTTATCTGTGTGTGTGTTTGTCATAAAATCACATCTTCATCCATTCACCGCCTGACCACATCTCCAACTTGGGTTTCCTCCAGGAGGAGCCGAGGTCATTTCCCACCCAACGCCCAAATGAAGCGACGTCAGGCGTGGTGGTGGGTGGCTGGAGCGATGAAGAGCTGGAAACCCTGGCTGGGACGTCCCAGAGAATGGGTGGGAGTCCCAGCCTTTGGTGCAAATTTTGATGAGAATATTCAGCACCGTGACTTCGGTTCCTCTGGTGGCAATCACCCTTCTCCTTTAGTAGCAAATATTAATTTGAGAACTATTGGTGGTAGTTGAAGTGGAGTGGATGGGTTCCATGTGACCAGCAAGTGGACATGGATTGGTCAAAAACCTGGTTGAAGTTGAACAGCAAGTAGATTGACCGTCCACCGTGACTACCGTGACTGGTGTTCATGTGGAGCGGGGAAAAGACTACCGTGACTGGTGTTCATGCGGAGTGGGAAAAAACTGATATTATGTTTTTGACCCACAGTCACGTCTTCCCGAAACGCCTAAGTCAGCAAATATCATTTCTCACGCACACTATCTCAGAACTATCTCAACATGTCGCTAGCTGGCCCTCTTTGCCGTACTTGGTAAGGTGAAAACATGTTGAGAGTGCCAGGAATCCCAGCAGTAGAACTGCTCAGTTGGTGGGACACATGTGAAAAACACCAGGTCTCTAAACCGGGTTTCGGTGTTCCCTTTCGGAGAGCCTCTCAGAAAAGGACGGGAGGATCTTCCGGGATCTTCCTCGAACGTGGAAGGAATGAGACGAAGACGGATGAGACGAAGACTGGTTTCAGGACATGCATTGCATGTTTTGTAGAGGTGATGTTTCCGATGCACCCCACTTGACCCGTCCTCTCAGGTAGGGCCACTCTTGGAGGACGGTCGACCGACCTGTCTTGGTGGGGGTTGGTTGAAAATTAGATTTAAAAAACACCTGTTTAGTAGTGGTGCTCCTTTTCTTTCAGGAGTGTAGTGGTTCAAGGAAGATCAGACTCATATATAGTTTCTATAGATGGTCTGGTATGGTGGTGTATGGCTGAGTGTCCCTTGTGTTACTTCGAGAAAGAACGATTCGTCCTCGGGGATCTTTGTCCTATTCGTATTGACCAAATCTGATGTGTGACCGCTTCGCCAAACCATCAAAGAGCCAGCACGGCTGTCAGTGAATAAATACATCGATTTGCATAATCCATGTGTTGATGTGTCCGTCACCCAGAATCTGGGCAGTTGAGTTGTGGAGGGATTTGGAAGACTGTGAGTTTTCTCCACCAGGTGAGCTTCGTGATCAAGATCAATATCCCACCGCAATTGCCAAGCCAGGAACCACACATTTGTTTATGCATTCTGTTTTGTCATTCAATCAACCAGTCCTGCAGATCATCAGTTCCCGACCCAAACATTTGGGGGGCAAAACGTCCATGAAGAAACACCAGAGCTACATCCGAGAGTTCTCACCAGGATGCCTTTGCTGAAGGCCAAGGGAGTGTCCAAAGAATTGGCCTACAGTTTATGAGTTGTGAGATACCGCAGATGGACTGCTGGGGCGATTTTTTTGGAGAGAGAGTTCTGGCATGCTCGTCCAACGAACGAGCCACTGTCAAAATGGAAACAACCCATCAGGTAAGAGAGGTAGGAAATGGCCACAAGTGTAGCCGAAGAACCTATGACAATTGTTGTTTTTTGATATTCCTATTTGTAGAAGATGCATGTCAGAACGCCCCCCCGTTGGCCAGCGAAATCAATCATGTTCATTTCATGTTTGGAGGCCATCGCTGGTAGGCTGGAGGCCATTTCTTGTTTTTTTAGCATGATGGATTTCTTGTCGGTTTCGTCGCGCTCGTCTTCTTCGTTTCCACTCTGCAGAGTCCGGTGTCGGGTAGCTTCTCCGACTCAGTCTTTCGGGACGTTCTCGGGGGGGATGGGGATGGGTTCACGAGCGTTTCCACTTCGGTGACCGCTGCGACATCGAAACATGGATGAATCGCTTGCGAGTGCCTCTCCACTTCGTCGTCAGCTCCGTGGCTTGGTCCGATGGAAGAAAGTCCTTTGAGCATTTTTTGGGGTGAGTGGGATTTTGTGGGAAGTCCTGTGGTCAGTGGTGGTTCTTGGTGAGCGAGGTGTTTTGTTTTGATAAGTTGTGGCCTCAGGGCCAGTTTGGTTGGCAAGAATCTTGGATAATCTTGGCACATCCAATGCAAGGTTGTAGTTTAGGTCAGCAGGAACCCAAAGCCCTGGCAAAATGCCGTATGTTTGACAAACTTTTCAAAGAGAGTGGTCAAAGCGGTGAAAGACATGGACTGACGTCAGTGGAGTGGACGCAGCCGCGCCGCTGCTCTCTAGGCGCCGCTTCCACGGTCCCCGTGCGCGTGCTGGCGAAGGTGCGGGAACGCCACCGGCAGGTGAGGATGAACTGAGCTGAGGTCGGTGTTTCCATGTGGTGCGGGTAGTAAGTTTTATAAAGCACCCTGGGAGGCCATGCTGCATGCGGCCGGACAAGGTTCATCCGTGGTGCTTTTTGTGGCTCTTGACCGATGACCGGGGGGAGGCCTGGGAGCATGGAAAGGGGTGACCATTGCCTCTCGACTCTTAGGCGATGTCCCAATCCTGTGTCCGGAAAAATCACCGAATCACTGGCTGTAGGATGATCTTCAAATCTCGTTCCAATCTCCCCAGAACTTCCAATCACTCATTTTATTCCGCCTGATCGTGATCCACGTACTGGTTCAGGGGTCAGGGCTGTGTCATTTTCCAGGACTCTCAGGGCTGTGTTTGTCCGTCCCCAATCTCTCAGCGGCCCTCCGACAGGTGAATTTCGCCAGGTTTTGAGTCTGGAGGTTTTGAACTCCAAAGCTTGTTCGGAGTACCTCGTTTGTTTGTTTGTTTGTTTTGTTTGTTTCGTTTGTCCCATTTGTTTTGTTTGTTTCGTTGTTTATAATTGTTTGCTTGGGTCCCCAGTCATGCCTGTCATGGCACCAGCAGATCGAAACGCGTTTCCCCCCCCCGCCTGGTGTTTGGTCCACCCTTCGCGGCAAATAACGGGACGAGGGCTCCAGGTGGGTCGTGAAAGATCAGGCTGGGATCCCCAGGGCGTTGGTCGGAATACGTGGATGTGAGTCCCAGACACTCCATGTATATATGGCATATTTGCATACATTGACCCCTGAAACCACCCTAATGTAGGTAAATATGCTATACATGGAGTGTTTGGGAGTGATTGCTTTGCAGAGACACCGACACGAAAGAACACGGGTTCCAGATGGGAAATGCAGACTTACAGATGGAAACATGCGGAAAGTGCCAATGAATGAATGAATCGATTTTTGAAAATCCATGGGGGTACGTGCCTCGCCGTTTGGCGGACCTTCATTTGAAACATGTTCCCACTTCCGCGAGGCTGACATGGATTGCACCCTCGAGGAGGCAAGAACACATAAATCTGCGGAAATCCGTGTGGGATGACAAAGGAGGCGAAGAGAATGTGGCGTATTGGGGATGGAAACTCTTCAACGTCCGGCTGTGAGATGATGGGCCGTGGCGCTTTCTGTTACCCTCTGAAGGGTGAACAGAGTTCGCTGGGTGTCTTCGGCCGGTGCACTCCGTTGGACCTCGGACTGCGTTGCCGTTGGACACTCCTTCCGGGTTCTGGGAAGCGACGAGAGGGTAGCGAAAAGGTGGGTTTTCAGGGTAGCGAAAAGGAACGGTGGTCAGAGCAGGACATGTTTCAGCAACAGAAGTTCTTTTAAAGGTGTGATTGATCATCGATGTTCTTGGAGAAGGTCTTGTTTGTGACACCACAGTTTAGGGCCCCCAGTTCCTGGCCCCCTGCTGAGTTGCACCAAACCGACCACAGCGTTTGGAGACCAACCGCACACCTCGAACCAATCCGAAAGGTCCAAGGTCAGTCGATCCAAGTCGTTGGCTCCAAGTCCTTTGGGTTTTCTGACCGCGTGGTGTCCTTGGAGCTGGTGTGGATTCTCCAGTTGAAGGCCAAAAGGACTCCAATCAAGTCCACCTTCAAGGTTGCTAGCTGCTAGCTACTGGAAATCCACTCACGGGGGGGCGTCATGCAGCTGTCTTGGCGTTTCTCGCGGTCTGCATGTTCCTTTGTCCATGTCGTGCGGACTTCCATTTCAGTCGGCAGACATACACCGGGTGGCAAACATGTCCTACCTGTAATTACATGCAATAATATACCATGTAATTGCCAGGAGCATCGAAGGGTTATCCAATAGCAGCCCAGAAGTGTCGGGTAGTCCACTGGAGACCCCCTGGGTGGTCGACTCGGCAGCTGATTTGCTTGGCTGTGACTCGGCAGGTCCTTGCAAGCCTTCCCGAGATGGATGCCGTCGGCTCCCTGGACGTCGGAGAAAAAGCGGAAAAAGGCATAGTCCAAGCGCGGACATGGCCCAGCAGCAAGAGTTTAAAGTGGTTTAGGGTTTAGGCTTCTGGTGAATTAGGGCTTGTAAACTGTAGACTCGTGGGGGGTAGTGATTCGATCTTTGATGTGACTATGCAATATTATATAGACCAATAAAGGTACTAGGGCCTAGCTGGAAGCGAGCCTTTCAAGTTAGATATTTGTTGACCGGAGTTTGCTTGTTGGAAGGCTGGTGAATCCAGGAGGCCAACTCTGTATAGGAACGCTTAGGCCGGCAGAACTCACCACGTGGAAGCTTTATTGACATTGGTTTCGGGAGTCTTGAGAAGTTGCTCCCCATGCTGCCGAGTGGCTGAGGATACTATATATGCTTCTCACTCTGAAATGGTGATGTGATTTGTATTTTTAGTTATTCTGGACATGAAGCAAATTTAAGCAACATATCGTGGTCCCCAAATAGATGACGGCACCATGTTCTTTCCCATGTTAATGGGGTGTTACTGTTCTATCTATTTGGTGATCGTGACGTTCATGCGCATAGCCAGGCCAGCGCCACGATTGCACCAATTGAAAGCATGGTTGACCTGGTGTTGTAGTCTGAACCTGCTTAAAACATAGAGTTGTTGGATCTTGTTTGGCAAAGGCTATGAAGTATTCAATGGTGGTACGAGTTTTGAGGGTGAACTTCTGCCATCACTTCATCTTCAAGACACATCGTCACCTTCTCCTCGAGGTGCTCCCTGACCATGGCAGCGAAGCTCCAGTGGTCAGAATCTCAGGTTGATCCCACACCCAGCAAGGTCCAGTTGCCACTATGACTGGTAACCAGTGATTCCTGTCAGCTCCCCAAATCCCAGGCGAAACGGTTGCGACTAAGATCCACTAGAAACCTAGGTTTGGTGTTGACGGTGTTGACCGAAAGGAAGCGACCGGAGACCCGCTGTCTCCCCGACTGCGTCGAAGGAACGCCCAGGTGGAAGGGAAACAAGAAGGAACCGACAGTGCCACATGAATAGATGTGAATACTCATGGACTCCTATATTATATATATATATATACATATACAGTATACAGTATACACATAAAATATATACACATACATGTAGAACATATATATATATACATATATATATATATCTTTGCATTGCGTAGTATAGATAATCTTATTTATTTCACTGCCTATGGGTCGTGACGGACAGGGACCGCAAGTCGCGCTATAACTTCATACAAATATAATGTACAATATATATATATATATACGTACATATAGTATGTTGGTGGGAGGTTTGATTGGAAGGTGGACAGGCAATTGACCTCCAGAAAGGGTTTTCTTTCCCATGAACCCTATAGTAGCGCGGGGCTACTCTGCGGGAAGGTGCATTGATGTTCACATGTGATTCCTGCAAAACTGTGGCTGGACTGTTTGAGCACCATGAGCAAAGCAGCCAGGGTGCACCTGAAAACAGCCAACTCCCCCCAACATCCCTTAACACACGTTTAAGTTGAGGACAGAGATAGAGATCACGGCTGGAGGCTCCTAAGGGATCATGAACAAGATGGGGGTGCAACTGTACCACAACCAGTCACGATACACAACATTGACACGTCAGCACCGAAGCAAAAAGCATCGTGACATTAGAAAAGAGTTGCATGATGGTTGTCAGTTCCAAGTAGATGTCTGGAGAGACAAGACATTGCATTGACAAACTCCTTTTCTTCGAATTCAGCTTCTTCAAGTGACTCGGGCGGCCTATGCCCGGCGATGGACCGGATGATTCTTTCCATCTTCACGGGAGGTGCGCTTCGTCGCTGAAAAGCCAAGCCCGGTTCGGCCAGCTGGGAAGCTGGGAAACGCCCAGTACGGTTTACGGTAAGCTGATTTTTGTTGGTTGATCGTGGCAAGACATCTAGTGACTATTGTCACGATGTGTCATACTATATACTGACATGGTATTATACTGGGTTGATCTGGGTTGCACATTGGTGCACTTTTCATTTTTTGCCGTGGCCATTTCCATTGAATATCAGCTGCTTGGCGCCGGCAACGGTGGAACCCGACCGAAGCCACTGACAGAGGCAAGTTCAGCAACTTCCGAACATTCTAGTAGGAGCGGTTTCAGCATGGGAGGCTGGAGAAGTTGACAGCAGAGTATGGGGCGCCTATGGGCACCATGGGGAATCCCAACTTCTTCGGACAGGGGAGTTTGTCCCCACAACACCTATTGTACTGTAGGTGGGGAGATCCGGGTCGAGCAAGTAGCCACAGAATCTGTGCCCATAGAACCCACGTGACCTCCTTGATGGTCTACCAACAACTTCAACACCCAACTCAACCAAAAAAGCCTCCTATCCAATGCTTTCGAAGAGACCAGAGCTGGTACCTTTTTGGTCCTCGGTCTTCTCGCATGTACAGAAGCTAGCCGCTTCTTGCAACTGGCACGGATTGGTTTCCCTTGCAGTTGCTGGGAAGTGGGCACCAATCTTTCGCAATCTTATCCAGGTCTTGGGGTCTGCAGTTCCCTCCCAAAATAGTCCGTGGATCTCTTTGCAGGAGTCACGTTGCGCTGCTGGAGAGAGCCTGGCAAAGGAACATGACCTGAAAGATGTAGCAATAGACTAGACAAAAAACACCCACATTCTGAGTTGTTCGGCCCGTTGTTCAGTCTCGTTTTGCACCCATTCAGTGCACCTGAACTGACAAAACCAGTTCGCGGGTGTGAACTTTTTTCCGCACAAATATGGCAAGACGGTTGCAGCAGATGGGCGGAGAAAAGATAGCCTATCTTACAATTTACTTTGTTTTTTTCATATTTTATATTTTACTTCGTGTTATTATGTTTTTCTTTCCATCTTAGCTCAGACCCCCTGGTCCCGTGACACCTCGCAGAGATCGGCGCGGATTTGCGGATCTTTGCGGAGTCACATTGGATACAGTATATCCATTCACATCCGAAGGCGGCAGAACCGAAGGCAGCATGTTCGTTCTGGTGATTTGATGTGATTTGTTGTTCCCCTCTTCAGTGAAAGAGCTTCCAGAGAGTGTAGTGGAACCGATTTGTTGTTTCTGGTGTGAGCTTGGTGGGGAGTGCTAAACTTAATTGCGGTGCCTCGGTTCTAAGATGGGCTTGCTCGAGTCCAAGACTTGTCCAGTCCATCACCCATCATTTTTGCCTTTCTCTTTTTGCGAACACTCCATGTATGGTAAGCATCAGAATGGAGCCTTATATTGACCCCCTGAAACCACCTCAATGTAGGATAACATGCATTAATATGCCATATGCACGGAATGTTTGGGTACAGAATGACAATGGCCATGCGCAGCAAAATCATGAGTATATGGTGTATGCGCCTGAGCTGTCATCTCCCACGGGCCGGTCCAAAGTCCCTCTCATGTTCTTGTCGGCTTCCCAACATGCCAGGAGGCCTGTGCGCATGTTGCAAGCCAGAGATGAACAACTCCGTTGCCATGGACATTTTACAGCTGAAGTCCTACCAAGACGAGTGGGTCTCCTGGCTTTACGGATATGTTTTCCATTCGTGTTCTGGGCGGTCGTGCAGGCGCTGAGCGTTGTTTTGTGGGGCGACCGTCGTTCAACAAGCAAAGTCCCAGCAGCAGCAGCAACAGGAGGAGGAGGAGGAGGGGTAGGAGCAGGAGTAGGAGGAGGAGGAGGAGGAGGTCAAGCGTGGGTATAAGACGGTGGTTGTTTTAAATATAATTTCAACTCTGTCCTTTTCGCTTCGCTGCGACCTCTCGGTCACCCGTCTCGGTGTCCGAACCCAGGACCGAACCCAACGAGCCATGGAGCTCGCGAGACGAGATCAGCAGAGCAAAGATCAGGCGAGCCGACCCTTGGTCGGTCCTCGGTGGTTAGACTCTGCTACCTCCCAGACCGTTCCGTTGGTCATCACGTGCTTCGACCTACCTAAGAAAGATCGAAGGATAGATATATAGATAGACAGATAGATACAGAAATAGATAGATTGATGGATGCACAGATGGACCGATGGATAGATAGATAGATCGATCGATAGATAGATAGATAGAGAAATAGATAGATAGTTGGCAGGTGCTTTTTCTTTGTGCAGTGGCCGATTTGCAGGTTCGATGCACATCGTCAGGGGGATATTATATGTTCTACTGTAGGATCCATGATTTGTTTGATACGTGAAATGAAACGAAGACTCCCATGAGCCAATTTATCTTTAAATATACAAGTATTTTCTATAGGAACCTTGCGGAGATACACGCCAATTTACTAACCTGGAAGTGGAAAACCATTTGTTTGTAAAGGAACATGCCCTTCTATGGTCCCATTTTCCTCTTTCACGTCAGTGAGTCAGAGTGTACCGATAATTCTGGAACCTCGCAGTGACAGTCTTGATATAGAGAGTCGTACCTCGCATGATCATGATCCGAAAGGCAGGTCCTCTTGAAACATCTTGAAACAGCTCCCCGACAATCCATGCAATCCATGCCTACGACCCCCGTAATTCACCATCCCTGGCCGTTTCGCCGGTCCCGGACAGATCGTGTGTTTGGTCTAAAGCAGCGGAAACGTCCACCGTGGGCCACGTCCTCAAGAATCCTCAAGAGAAGATCGGTGGAAGACGTAAGTATCATGAGAAGGTCGGCAAAAGAGTAATGATCATGTAACCATCATGATGTGTTTTTTCTGCAACCGAACCATCATCCACTGGGCCCTGGTATTGGGATGTTATATATAGTACTACCCAAAGAGTCCTTCTCAGGATGAGTTCGATACGAAGTCCCGTTCGGGCGAATTCCAGGAGATCCGTGAGAAAGCTGCCACCAGGGCTGCAGAGCTTCTGAAGCCTGAAACGGGAAAGCCTGAGCTGGAAGCTCAGACTGAAGCGGTGATCACCATGAACTTGTAGCCAAAAAGTGACTCACATGGAACCTGGGATTGCCAGTGGACATGTCAAACACTCCAATGTATGAATATATATATATATATAGATAGATAGATATAGAATTATATAGATAGATATTGATATATATATATATATATTGCAAGTGCACGGCAGCGGCCTCCGTTTTCCTACACTGGAGTGGGGGGTCCTTGAGCCCGGAGAGAACCGGGACGAGTTCCTACGGTGTTCGTGAACAGAAATTGCATGCCCGGGTCTGTACAACCTCGGTGTAAAGAAAATCAGAAGCCGTGGCTGGCTTCCGCGTCTTGGTTCCGGGATTCATTCCAGAACGGATTTGCCCATAGCAATCCGCTTACGTCCCGAAAACATATTTGGTCGTCCACGATCCTCCAAACTTGGCCCGTTTGAACAAAACGTCCCAACTGAACGTCCTCCCCCTTTTTGGTAAGAGAATTGGCCAACATGGCCTGTGAACTAACCCATCTGATGCGCAGCTTTGTCCTCGCTTGGGCTTCTTTGATGGTCAAAAGTTCGAGGTCCACGCGCCTTTGAGCGCCCTTGGGGGTGATGTAAGGTTTTTCAACCCTGTCGTAGACATTTCTACTGTCCGTGATCAACACCCCTCCAACCCGACTCACATGGTTGTCAATGTCATGGATGTCCACCTCATGTCCTATGATTTCACCCCACTGAAATCTCAACATGTGAAGGATATCCTCACCGTCGATGAAAGCGCGCGCTTCCGACGATCCGGGTGACCGACACACACGATCGATCTTGCCGCTCTGCCAAAACCACGGGGACACACGGTCGATTTCGCCCGATTCGAGTTTGCCCCCTGACATCCCGACCAGGATACCTTTCGTGCTGCTC